TTATAAAATTATAGAAAAATTCTGAAAAATTATATGAAAAGTTCTGAGAAAAATTTTCACCAAGGTAAAGTTTATTTTCAAGTTTAAATTAAATGAGTGAATTTCGTGTTCAAAATAAATGTAAATGAAATTAATAATTACAAATTAATAACTAAAATTAAGTAAAATTTTATTTAAAATTTACAATTTAAAATAAGACAAGTGAAGTTATATGTGAAATATGACGGAACATAAATTTTACATTGCAAAATTTATATTTATATTTTTTTCTTTTTTATAAAATCAATAATCTTTATAAAATATATGTATATTCTGTGTTAAATTAAAATACATTATTTCTTACAGTTTATCGTTTCTCTTTTTTTCTTCAATGAAAGGAAAAAAAGTCTATTGTTTGTACACGTATTACGTCCCTGTCCATCCATCCATCCAACAAGAAACAAGCTGACATCTTCATTCCTCAGTATCGCCAACTCCAACCAACTACAACCAACTTCAACAGAACGTGTTGATTTACTGATAGTAACATGCAGGTTAAAAGTGTACGGCGATTTTCCAATTTTCCCGTCGCTTCGTTGTAAGTTATTTAACTGCACATAAATTAATTGAACGAGATCTTTGCTTAATTAACTTATTCAATAATGATCTTTGCGATTGTCACATTTTAGAACGTAAATGAAGTATCAACCTTCTCTGAGCAGGATTATTTCACTGGTTATGCGCATCGATTGGATATCTACAAATTTATCATTAAAATATAAAAAAAATGGTACGATAATTATTTATAACTGTATATTAAATTCACTCATTATATATTACAAACGGATATGTCACAATGGGATTGACGGAATGCTTTGTTTACTTCAGTGTAGCCACCACACACGGACAGAAGAAAAGATTAAAAAATTATTGAAAGCAAGTATTGTTTGCTTACGTGTTTACAACAGAGATGTATATGGAGCATTCACAGTTTCCTACTTGGATACCCCGTCCCTAGCGATGCACGAACGTAACTGGGTACAACCTTGATCGACAAGGTTGGTATCTAGGCGATGCTTAATCACCTAACGCACACGTTCTCATCTATTATCTGATCTAGATTTGCCCTGCGTGATGTTCTTATCTGACCAGCTTATCTAAAATTCAATAAGACTCAAAGGATAAATAATATCACCGCGACGTTTAAGTTGCATCAAGTCTACAGTAAGATTTTACTCTTTTCCAGCTTATTCTGGCTGTACAAGATTCAGACGGCATAGGATCTTTGTTTGTATATACCGTCTGTCTTGCAGAGTGGAGACTTGAATACACAATCCGTTGTTATAAAAAGTTTCACATAGGACTACAAGAACAAAATGGAAACGTTCGAGGCATATGACGAGTCTATGGTTACCGCAGCAAATTATCAGTGTGACATTGTTCAAACTGTGAACAATCATGCGCCCAAGGAAGAAATAGAAGTACGGAATAGAGAGAATCATGATACGTTGACGTTGCAACAGCAACAGGCGGAGCAGATGCATCAGGTGACGCAGATCGAATCGAATATCCAACAAAAAGCAACTGCAGTTCGATTGCCTGCTTTATTGGATGGAGAGTACTTCCAGGTGATCAGGGTGGAAGACACTAACGTTACGGTACGTTGTCAGCAGTGTATGAAATTGCTCAACGGCAATCTGAAGTCCACTGGGAACTTTCTCAGTCATGTAAAGGTAAACAAATTATTAGATACTTTGATAGAATTGTCTGTATGCAGATGACGGGGTGGAAAAAAGTTTCTTGATATAAAACCATGAAGATCAGAGGGGCCAGTGAAAGCCTAAGCACCGATTATTGTGTTTTTATTTCTTATTCTTACAAGGGACTGTTACAATTGTCTGGATTTGATTCTCCTTGAAATATATTGTTAAAAAAAAATCTGAGATACATGTTTTTACATGGATCCAATATCTCAAATTTAAAAAGTGAAACCTTTTAAAGCTTAATAGGGATGGAGGTATTTTCAACATTAGATTTTTACATTAGATTTGTGAAAAATCTAAATACACAATTATCAAGTATATAAAAAAAATTAAATATTTTGTCTAAAACATTTGTTTCATCCCTTAATCTAAGATGGAGAAAAAAATGTGTTTCTTATATTTTTGTGCTTAATATATTTCAAGAACAATCAAATCAATTTCAAATAGTTATAACAGTTTCCTTGTTTAATTTTATTTTGACGATGATTTTATTATTTATTTAATTTTATTTATTACTTCAGGCGATACTTACAATTATATAATTAATTCTTCGTCGACAATGATACGTCATCCACTATCTAGATCTTCGAACTTCAGTGTAGATTTTTTATATAATTTGGACTGTATAAAAATTTGAAGAAATTCTTAAAATAAGTCTTTACTGTCAGAAATAATTGTACTTTACTTATTTTTTACAAATTTAAATTTGTTAGAATTTACAATAAAAAAATAAAATTCAACATTGCCGGCAGTGGATTAATTATATACGCTAGTGACTATGCTTAAAGTCTCTCATTGGGCTTTCTTTTACCATTATAGATTACGATTTATTGTTAGATAGAGAATTTTCGTAACTATTTTCATAACAGTCTTGTTATTTTTGCAGCGATTGCATCCCTCTTTGATGTCCAAAATAAGGTGCAAGTCTAGTCAGAGGAAACCCGCGATATATGTCAATTCGACGTTACCTGATAAATGCTCCGAAATAATGCCGGGAAAGCGTGCAGCAGTACAAAATAAGAAGCGCTGTAAAACGGTAAACACTTAATTTTTGCCATGTAATTAATTCGATCTTGCCGTCCTAAAAAGATTAAAAAATAAGTTACTATATTAGAAAAGAGGATTAGTAATTAATTATTAAAAAAATTATTATAAAAAATTAATTTTAGATAGAAATAGCTGAAGGTACACTTAAATATACGACAGATGAAAATTTAAAATTTATTTTAAACACATATAACATATTTATATTTCTGAAACGTTTAAATTAATTGTGCTTAGCCTTTCTCTTATCTATCTCGATTTTACAATATAACAAAGAGTTTTCTTTTCTTTGTTACGTTGTAATTAATTTAATATATTCATAAGCAGGAGGAATGTACGGCCGAAAAGAACGAATCTTACGAACAACATGCGGATTGGAACGATACGTCGTTAATCCGGGGATCCGACGAGTCGGAATCGGCGGATCCATCCCTAAGAATATCACATAATAATTCATTTATAATGGAGGACGAGTACGATGCAATCGGTCGCAACGTTGCCGCCAAGCTCAGGAATATGAGACTGGACCAAAGAATAATAGCTGAGAAATTGTTGAACGACATTTTATTTGAAGCTCAGCTCGGTAATCTTCACAGAGATTCGAGTATTCACGTGTGAAAATAAAATGTACAACGACCTATGAATCGATATTATATATCTTCTAGTAAATATGGCGAAAGAATCCAAAAAGTGACGTGATATGTGATTAATACAGTTATCTGATTAATTATATAACGCGCATGTTGATATGTGTATGTGTGTGTGTGTGCGTAAAGATTGCACGCTTGTGAATGAACAATTTTCGTTAATAAGATTAGCGATTATATTGAAAGACGAATACTTTATACTTTTGTGATATATCTTGTAATCTTCTACGTGATCGTCCCGAGATCATTATATTTGGATTTTCAGACGAAAACGAAAGTCTAATTATTCCGATAAATTTGTATCAGATGCCAGATTACGATTATGCCTTCTTGGGTAGCAATACAGTCTGGATGTTCGATAAAACACCACCTTGGGCAATTACATCGGACAACAGCTTATTCAACTCCTCGTCATTGCGGATGGCGAGTTGCAGGTGACGCAGGATTCTAGTCTTGTTGTCACGAGCAGCGTAGCCAGCTAACTTCAAAATTTTAACGGCCAGATATTCCATGATTCCAGGTAAACCGATGCACCAGTTCAGCGCAGTTTCTTTTCCTCAGATGAATACGACTCACGGGGAATTGCAATCCCTATTAAAACGGGACTTCGCCTTTCCCTTGACTTTGCCATTCATAATAATTTTAGAACGATATATATCCCAGCAAATGAGAATGAATTAAAATGAATTAAAATTTTTTTCTATCCGTATTTTAAATAGCGAATATTTTTTTTGGATTCAATTGGATTCAATTAGATTCAATTGGCTGCAATTGAATTAAAAAACTGCATTTCCTATTCAAAATTTTGAATTGAACAATATTCACAATGTATTGTGCACAGAAAAAGCTAATATTATTTCTAGATTGAAAAGCATAGAGATATGCTTCATGCAATTCCTATAAATGAATAAAAATGCAGAACTGAAAAGCATTCATTTTAATATTTGTGAATCAATATTTCTGAGAATCTGAATCTGAATCATTTCAATTCATTTCAATCCATTCTTGCTGGAATTGAACGCCTACGCTTATATATATATATCACAGTCAAAGCGTAAAATTTAATAAATGTATACACCTATATGCATTTATATTTTACATGTAAGATTTTAGCAAAAGTATCAAAGAGTCTAAAAATGTCTGCTGTATGCTGAGATTATGTGTATGAGTACTTTTACTGACAAAAGTATTCAATTCAAATTGATGCATTTTTTTCTGCATACTTTACTAAATTATGTGTGAAAATGCATTTACTAGTAAAGATAAATTTCATTGCTTGTTTTCTTTCATTGTAAATACATTTATTTATCAAATTAGTATTCCAGCAAACGAGAATGGATTGAAATGGATTAAAATGGATTCAGATTTTCAGAAATACAGATTCATTATGTTAAAATAAATCCTTTTCAATGAATGCATTTTTATTCACATATTTATAGGAATTGCATAGTGCATATTTCTATATCTTTCAATCTAAAAATAATATTAGCATTTTCTGTGCACATCGTGAATACTCAATTCAAATTTGTGAATAGAAAGTACAATTTTTTTAATTCAGTTAAATTCAAAAATAATATCAGCAATTTTTGTGAATACTGCACTCAATTCAATATTCTGAATATGAAATGCAATTTTTCAATCTAATTGAATAAAAAGTTTTTATTTACAAATGGATAAATGTTTCTTAAATTATTCAAAATTATAAGTAGGAAATTTTTTTAATCCAACTAAGGCCTAGTTGCACCAATGTTATTTTAAGCGAGACTCAAAACTCTGTCTCGTTTTGCCAAAAAAAGACAGAGACAGAAAGAGTTTTAAGCCTCGCTTAAAATCGAAGTAACGTTGGTGCGATCGAGCCTAAGTTCAGAAAAATAATTGAGTTCTTTTGTTTCTCTTTGAAATTAGAAGTAAAATAAATGATCGATGTGAACTCACAAACCAAATCGAATACAGTCCGAATATTAGGCTAATCACGGCGTGTAACATTGGCCAAGCGAGATTAGATTAGCCAACCAATGTTGTCTCATAGGCCCGATTGCATCAATATTACTTTGATTTTAAGTAAAGCTTAAAACTCTCTTTTGTCTCTGTCTCTTTTTCGGCTTTAAAAAGACACAGAGTTTTAGAAAGTCTCGCTTAAAATCAAAGTAACATTAATGCAACCAGGCCATAATAATGTAAATTATTTATACTTTGTTACAATATATCTGTTAAATGATGATATTTTTATTATCTATATAATTTCGTTACTAGTTTAGCTGGTTGTAATTGAAGTAGAAAATGAATAACACACTTACCAATTGAAGAAGTGATGTAGCGGATAACGTACAAGATTCATAATCCAAGAAGTCCCAGGTTCGAATCCTACTAAGATGCGTTTTTTAATACCAATTTGAAGTAGTTAATTTCAGGTATAATTATTATAAATATGTGTGTGTGTCTTACAGGAATAAGATTTGTAACCCTTTTAAATATGAATGTTTTTTTTTTATTAAATTAGTGTCAACTCGAATCCAATCCATTTTCATGG